TTCCAATGTTTTTAGTGGCCAACAGCCCTTTCTTGAGAATAGAGTGTTGGTCTATGAATTCCTTAGTGCTCTAGGGCAAGGATTCTCTAGATTTCCTTTCGGTAGAGCTGGGGGTGGCAGTGGGCATCAGTATTTTAAACACTTAAGTGATTTTAATGGACACTAACCTTTAGACCCCCTTACTTCTCCATAGTTTTTTTCTGTCCAAATTTGACTATTTTAAAAATTCCAGAATCTATCATAAAAGTCACCTTATTCTGTAGTTTACTACACCAAAAGCGTATTTTTAAATTAGCAGACAAGCAATATGTAATTCGATATTTATTCCTATAATTTGTGGAGAATCCTCCTTGAAGGTAGAACAAAATAACCTCGTCCCAGCGAACAGTAAGAGACACCTTGTGGCTGAATTGGAAGAATGAAAGTCTCTCACTTTGTCTGCATCTTCCTCTCAGTTGCCTGCATGAAAAGAGAGCTAGTCTCCAATTCTAGTTTTGCTCTATAGCAGGGTGTCTCAACTTTGACACTATTGATAACTTCTTGTAATTCTTATATAAGAACTTAGATTTTTTTTAATTACAATTTCTTGTAATTCTTATATAATGAATTCTTGTTATTTCACGAAGCCCTTTGTTGTGGGGGGCTCTAATGGGTGCTGTTGAATGCTCAGCAGCACCCCAACCTCTGCCCACTAGGTGTCAGTAGCGTACCCCTAGTGAATAAGATTTCTCCTCTAACTCCTGCTCCGGCTTTTCTACCCTTTAGGCAGTTTCAAAAACCCATCTCCTAGGATTTAATTGTTTAAGTCTTCACAAATAGATTTAGTTAAGTACATGATGCTGGTTTGTACCTGTAATATTCTCACTGTGGGTATTAGGAGTTTTACATTCATAAAATTTATGTATCTCCTTAAATATGAGTTAATACATTATATTTAAACTTCTTTTTTTTTCTTTCCCTAGGATTTCAAGCACACAAAATCCTTTATAATTTAAAAGAATTCCATCTTTGAGACACACCACACCACACCTCAGCTGTTATACAAGTTATTAAAAGTTGTTAAAAATGCTTTGTCTTACATTTGCAAAGAGGTACATGAAATAATGAAATTGGTATTTCGTTAAAATTTGTATGACCTCTAAATCACTCAAAAGTGTTATTTTAAACAAGTAGTTATGTGAGCACCTAAATAAAATACAGTCTGGCTTCTTGTGTCTGGACTAAGTTCAAAGAATCACAATACTTTGTAATATTCTTGGGTTTCTAAAGAAGTTACTAAAATATATCATATTGACTGTAAAATTAATCCACAGAGCATGAAAGTATAAGCTGCATGCATGCTCTGTGCAAGAGTCTGATGTAAGGGTTCAGAAAATACTCTGGAGGATGCAAAAGGAACCTCTGGTCTCATTTCTACCAGAATCCTCTTTTCTCCCCTAATATAATCCTTATTCTGCTTCTCATTTACCACTAACATATCCACAGAAGGGAGTGGGTCCTGTAGCCAACGGATTTGCACTTTGTGTTTACTTCATTTCTGAGAAAAAAAGCAACATGAACACAGATACCTAACGACCATATCTCACTCATCTGGTGTTTGTCAGTGATTTCTTCATTAAACAGAATTGTGAGTCTGATAGAAACCCAGGCGTCTTATTTCACTCCCAAAGCTGCTTGTTGCTTCCTTTCCTTAACACCCAAGATCTGTGACCTTGACATCAGAACTCAGCACTGGAGCCCACATGCAGAACTTGCAGATACCCTTCCTGGTGATGGTGACTTCATATCTGCCTCTAAAATTTGTGCTGTGAAATTCTAGGCTAGGCCAAGTCCCTTACCATTATGGCCAGTGATTTACCAATCCTGCTTATGGTAGAGCCAGGGGTATGAAGAAAAGTGGTTGTCTGACACATAAAATCAGGAGAGAG